ATTGAACCGGACAACAGCAAAGTTGTCTACCACCAAAGTTTCGTGGCGGTGGAAGGGCTCAAACCTCGGACCATCTGGTCCAAAGCACGCCGGTGAAAGCGACTAAACCACTGCGCCACCACCACCCTTGGCAGTAAATGCATGAGGCTTAGCGAAATCTTTAGGAGGAAGAAACACAAACGAAACAGCCATCCATTCGAACCAATACCTGTGAATTTGAGTTCAAGGCGTGCACCGCAGGGACCGAGGTTGTCGATGTTCAAAGAAAAGATCAATATTTATTAAGTGATTCGGTCTTATGGAAGCGGGCTTTCGCTGACCTCCACTCACTAACCTCTGAGGTAGGATAGGATCTCTAAATAGGGAAAGTCATCCTTTATCGCTCACCGAATCACAGCGCTGCACGAGCCATCAAATTGCGTCGAGATGCAGTATCGAAGGACGGGATATGATGGTATTGTGCCCTATACTGGTATTTCACTGTATGGCAATTTCGTTTTTAATTTGACTGTCATTATTATTGATACACCAGTTCAAGTTAGTTCACTTGGAAAAGCAATCATTCTTAAGCGACCATTGATTGTTGTAGACCATCTCTTAAACTAACAAGTTGGCTCTCTTCCATATCCTCTGAATATTGAACACATCTCTTCCACTGTTTTTCCTCCATGTGAAAGGAAGAAAAATCAAATATTTTCATTAATTGATTCGAGGCATTAAGTTCCATTTATTCATTTCATTAATATAGAAAGAAGATAAGTGTCGTGAGATGTTAACATTTTGTTTAATCTCCCCAGTCGCTTACTTAAAACAAACAGGCGCATATATAGCACCTGCAGTTGCGGTGAGGCATACATAGGCAGAACAAACCGTCAGCTCTCACAACGGATGACCGAACATATTCCAAAGTGATTAGTGAAATCGATGACGCAACCAAAAATTGATGGCCAAGTGGTTGCAAGAAATCCAGGGTCATCTGTTGCAAAACATCTCATGGCAACAAGACATACAATGAAACCTAATTCGTTTTTTAAACCGCCACTACATAATCGCAATTCTAAACTTTTGGCAATTAGTGAAGACGAAGTAGTGAGTTGTTGTGCAGACAGAAGGCAAGAACTCCCGTAGACACTGTTTTGGTACGCACTATTCACTGAAGATTCCCATCATGAAATTGACAGAACAACAAGAGCAGTGAACAGACTCACGGTCAACAAATTCCTCCTCTGGTTAATTCAGTTAAATATACACATACAGTATATGAACTAAACATATATGAAACAAATAACGTCAGAATGAATGTGCTTTGATCGGATGATTTGAATGTGGTGAAAAGTGGTTGGGAAAGAAGTAAAGCAGAAAGTTGTTTATCAGTGGTTAAGAATTCAGAACCGAGAAAAAAAATTTAGGCACACTTTAAAAGGTAACCATTCGATTACACGGTATTGACAAATGATCGCCTATGAAATTTTTCACGACAATTGTGGGCTGCAGGGGTGGATTCGGACTGAGAATATCTGGTGTTCCGGTTTGCACGACCACAACATGACTGCGAAACAATAAGGTTTGCGAATGATGCAATATGAACTCGAAAATGTCTGTTGCTCTCGGTACAAGCCGGCGACTAAAACGAACATTAAGAAATGTGTGCTTTTGTGTTGTTATCCCCACTACTATATTTTACACATGTTTGCATCTAGAATGTATCAGAAAAGTAATGGAGATAGAATCTTTATATTAGAGAAAGAAATCTTCTCACAAGACAATTTTATTCCCAATTAGTGATATGTATGGAGATGTATTGGCATAAATAGGAATCTCTGAAAACGAGCTTGTTCGCCACTCAGTTGCTCTGTGTGAAATCTTCAACGTGGTCGTCGTTCTAAATGATGACAGAATGCCCAGGCTAAAACACGTGATTTCCTGAGGATTCATAATCAAACGCACAGGTTAATCAAAGCATGGCCCCGGAGAGAATGGGGTGGTTGTGTCGTGGACTGATGTCCTCGAGACGCGACTCACACGCCCATTTTCCTAGATCGAACAAATAAGCCAATGGTGACCACGATATCATGGAGACAGTTCGTACGTATCTTCGCGAGGAATGGAAATTAATGGTTTTCGGGCTCCCGCAGATGAGTTCGTTGAACATCGGTTGCTATCCTAGTTAAAGCCCCGGGAACATCGGCTTTTCATTTTCCTCATTTAATGAGAGGTGAATACTTCGTAATAACTATACATGCTCGGTCATACGTACACACAGAATACAATGACAGTCAATTCCAAAACGATGATGGAAGTACAAAAAAGTAGATCCGGTAAAACAATACAATAGAAGAACAATACTGTCTATCCCAATCGCAATGTTCACAAGGGATGGAACAATGTAGTCTACACCTCGCTGCATGATGAAAGCAATTCACGTACTGGTATCGCCCTCTGAAGTATCTTCAACCTTCATTTGTCTGACATAAATAGGCTCGATGGAGAGGAGCGGTCCGAGAGATGTCTCATTCGTATGTTCTGAGTCGGCGTATGAGACTGGCACAGCCAACTTTCGGAACAGGTTTCGTGCGAATTTAGCCACCGGAGGAAGGGTGGAAAATCGATCAAAATACAAATGCGACCAGATACGCTGTCGAAAGCGAATCGCTTCCACAACCTCGGGGCTGAGATCAGGTGCAACAAAAAAATGAGGCAACGGGAAAACAATGTGAACAGCACTTGAAGAACCGATAGACCGCGGACAAACAACGATAAGATTACATATATAGTAAAAGCGATACCATAAAAAACAACTATCCTATTACCTTTGTTTTCCAACCGCACATATGGAGCGTTTCAACAATTTCCATGGCTCTGTGTAGACCGCCCAGGAAGGATGATCCAGCAAACAGAATGTCAATTGTAACGCGTCCAAGGAACGACCTACCCGAAGAAGAAAAGTCTGAATGGAGTCAACAAAAGAAAAACAGTAGTCTCCTCGAAACCATTCACATAAGTGCACACTAATAGTTCATACAGTAACCGTGTATTCAAGAGCTACTTGGCTTGAAAAATGAATTTATGACGTAAATGCAACAGTATACAAAAATAATGTTTAAAATCAATCCGATCATAGAATTTGTCAGAAAGAAGGAAATAAAGAGAACGATATTTCAATCATGAGAACCACCTCAATCGGCGATTGATTGCAAGTAGCGTTGATTTAGTTTCCAAATGTGGTGTTGAAATGGTCATAATCAGCCTCGTACAATCGCTCCGAAGATGTTTAGATACCCTGTGATGACACCGTTGTACGATGTCAATGATGAAAACGATTGAACGATCCGAACAAAAAGAGGAACACCCGGCTCACCGTGTTTCAAACAGGCCACAATAGTGGACACGTGTGGATGCGCAGCCCGTAGGTGCTTCTTTTCTTCCGCCAATGTCAGAGGATTCTCGGACGAAGGGACAGCAGGTGCAGGTTCGGGAAGCACGTGACGGGAAAATTGGATTCGGAGTGTCAAAACTCGTCGAAGCGTTTTTGACGCGCTAGTTCGTTTCGGAGCACGTGGGCTGCATAGTTCCGGTGTCGTGTCTAGGGACTGGTGATCAGACAGGTCAGTAATTACAGATTGGTCAGCAGGACCACCGTGCTGTTTGTACCACTCGCATAGGTAGCGGATCGCGTTGGGATTTTCCGGGACTTGCCGTCTATAGTACACAAGTAGTCGCCGAGCGGCCGGTAATTCACCGAAATATTCAAGTATCTGTACAGGGTACATCAAGGAAAATGACATGTCTTAGAGTGGATAACAGCATCCGGTTTGTGAAAGTTCAAATGCAGCGAACATCACGAGGATGCAGCGTAGAGGAACATAGAAGCACAGCAAGTTAATCGCTATCAACGGTACGATGAAAACCATGGAATTGAAAACTGCGTTTGAAAAAAGTCTGATTTGATCTTCTCGCTCCCGTACCACAGTGCTTTGTGAGTCAGATGCTTAGATCGAAATCCAAGGATGCGTTGTTATAGCTGCCTAGTACGTGCGACTGAGATAGGGCCACAAGATTTACGAACATAACGTTTTATGTTGTACACCGGTTAACATGACTGCTAATTACCGGAAGTAAAACTGGGTACGCAAACGTCAGTGGGTAACAAAGAGATAGATAGTTAACAAAAACTATCAAATAATGTGTTTCAGGAAAACGAAAAACTGCTCAATAATTTCATCCCATTACAAATTCTTACTTCGATTAGTGGACGGAGGAAAACATCGCACACATATCCACCGGCAATCATCGCCTCCACTTCTTGTAAACGATGAAACGCTTTCTCGGCGAGTTCGTCCAAAGCCGCCTGGTCAGGGTTTTCGGTCTCTGTTTACGGAGCATGAAACCGGGTCGAATAGATAGGTGGGAAGAACCATTAGATGTTTTTTATGTAAGTATTCTGCAACACTCAGGGAAAGCTTGGTTCAATCGCGTGCTACGATGGATTGCTAGTGCACAGACTGATTGACTTGAGGAGCCAGTACAACCCTGCTTTGTAGTGTAGGCGAATATCGTAAGAACACTGGAATATATTAAATAGCATTAAGGTTACATCATATCGTCAAAGATCCTTGGTGTTGTGACAGAAAGTCGAGCACCAAACCATCAAACAGCGAATCTGTAACAAATCTCGTATCCCATGGACTGTTACGTACTATTGGGGGTAACCTAGACTGCTCAACCACTATCACTGGATAGCTGGCAGTCTAAGACTTGAGATTTCAAACAAAGCGCTTTGTTGACAGTCAACAGCAGAGTAGTTAAAGCAATTTTTGAAAAGCTGGTTGGAGTACAACAATCGACGACCACTCCTCATTGATAGCAGATGTTAATAGGTACAGAAGAGCAAACAAGAGGTAATGCCTGTCAAACTGTGCACACTACCACGATACTCCAAATCCGAATAAAGACTTTTATGAACGTGCCGAATAGATCAAATAGTAAGGTACTGTATCGAACAAGTACAGGAACAATTTTCATTTCAATCGACTCCTTTGAGACGATAACGGGATTCGAGGGGAAGTACGAAATTAAGCAAGATATTCACGAACAGAATGTGTTGTTACGTGCAGTCCCAGTCTTAATGGATGTATTCCTAAGGATGTACGTCTACTTTTATTCAATTTAGCTGGAAAACGGAAATTCAGGCGAGATCAAACAGTGAGGCCGGCCAGCCAGCCAAATAGTGCTGAGTACAAACGGGATGATGTCCTAAGTAGTGAGCAGTTTGAATCAGAGTTTGTTCAATTAAAAGATTTTCCTTCCTTCGTTTTCCTTCTTTTTACAGAATATGTAAATGGAAAAACAATTTTTCAAGAAGGGAAAACCAATCAACCAAAGGACTGTCATGTGATGGCATAGTTAATGGACGTGGTGGGATTCGAATACACCACCTTCGAATCGATAAGTTGACTACTTCGAACACTCGACCACCGCCACCAAATACAGTAATCGGCATAAATCTTGAACAGATAGCGAACTTGCATTTGGAAATTTCCGTAGGATTCAACTCAATATATTCAAATTCTCTGTACGGATACCACCAATCAATTTTGAACGTACACTGGATGCCATTGGTTACTATTCTGTTTCTAGCCGAAGGCACAGAGCATGAGTACAGAACCTCGGTAAAAACAAGTCGAAAGATACCAAAATGACTTAATTTGGCCGTTACTCGCATTTTCGATGCTGCCTCCCGAAATCCGCACTACACCATAACTCGGATAGCAACACTACTAGCCAAAACTTGTCTCCCCTCCGCGCCAAGTTGAACGTTATTCAACGATGTGACTGTGTGCGGAGCCACCTTCATCGACAGAACAGAGGGATATTTACGTAACCAAAAGCCTGAACATTCCGAACTGGGTTCAGCGCTATGTCAACATAATAGATGTTACCCAGTTACAGCTGAACACAAACCGAACAAACAAACCTCCTGTGACATCATTCGCGAGGTATATGCTAGCAACAAGTGATATTAATGACCGCGGTAAATTATTCAGAATTATCTATCTAGCCAGAAAAACTTGATCACTGTTACTTGCAGAGAAGATACCGATCAACTGGTGGAAACTCATTCCAAATAAACATTGACAACATTATTTTCCCTCTATTCTATCCCGTTAATATCCTCCTTATCATGACCCAATGTGCCCTGATATGAGTCCTTTTAGCAGTCAGTACAAGCTGAGATGCAAAGACACGATTTGCCTGAGTTGCATCTCACTACTAGGTGAGCTCGTAAACAATCTTTAATTCGATGAATAGTAGAGGATTTGACTTGATTATAGGAAGAATTCGCCATTTAAGTGAAGTGTAGCCTGACAATCTAGGAGGTACTAGACAGCTGTTTTGACCTGATTAGGTCTCATTACCAGTCCGAATCCATTAATCAATCGGTGATTGAACCCGGAACCTCACAGGTAGAGCGCAAGCATACTACCCACTCGACCACCGGGCAGCTGAACAGACAGGTTTTCACTTAGAATATACACGATATGGCTGGCGTTCTGCCTGTGGAATCCCGTGTTCGATTCCTAGTTAGATCGACGGACTAGTGCTGATGTTGATGAGACCCAATCAGGTCGAAACAGTTGACCAGTACTCTCTAGATTTTTCAGGTCACGCTTTCTTTAGACAACGTATTCATCCTGCAATTGTTTTCTGTTCGTACGGACGTTTTAAAAGTGAATTCTGTGGATTGAATCCAGTGGTTCGATCACACCCTACGGTGACTGGATACGAAGCTAATGGAACAAACGTCTTATTCTAACTCTCAACCTGGTTATCATTGTCATCTTGAAGAAAAGCTGCAAAACGTGAATCAATACTATAGAGAACGATAGAGTAACTATCTAACTCCCATCATTCTACAGGGTCCCACCATAGGAGAAAAATTCAGTTCGAATCTGTTCGCCTGTAGCCAACTTAACATCTAAGATATAATAGTGTAAAAATGAAACAATCACTGAACAACCCATGCATCTAGGCCTAATAAATATCATAGAAAACTCGAGTGAATAGCTATACAATCCTTAGTTTGATTGCAGCCCATTTAATAGATTTAAGGCAGGCAAGTGGCTCGAATGGAGAATGGACATCCTATTATGTAAATCGAGAATCAAAAGCGATTGAATGTGGAACATTGGTGACAACCGAAACAATCAGTTCGCAGGCTTGAGCTGTAATTGCCCAAGAAACTGATGCGTGCTCTCGAATCTTCCTCAGCAAGATTATTGAAGCCACTTTATCGATCCGGGAAAGTAACTGTTACACAATGAAACTTACATCCATTTCCTTATTCTCAACCAACCAATTGTCCGACCAACTGACCTAATAGGGGACCCAACTGACCGATCTCACAACTGTCTTTCTTACCCCCAGTTTTAATGACGAATGAATAACGTTGCAAATGTCTGAAAATGAAACATCGAAAACAGGCGTTTACGACGCTTTGTTCTCCTGTGAATCCTGAACGTGTTTGATACTTTGATAAATTTGAATTTTAAGATTCCGGTAGCATTCATGAGCGATTCTCAAGTGCTTCGCTGGACGATCATGGAAAAGAACAGAGAAAACATAGCTATACCTCGTTCAATGAACAAGTGAACAACTTAAACGTCTCATCACCAATCGAGGTGATATCCTCAGTTTTTCTCCCCCTATTTGCCTTGTGCTACAAGGAGCGAACCTCTCGAAATTATAGGGCCAACGCTTGACCACGTCATTACGATGAACTCTTGAGTGAAAAAAAGAATGGTCAACAAAATCAAACCAGAGTTGTTCAGCGCCATTACATTTGAAACAGTTTGATAGACAGTTCTTGAGCACTCATAACTCAAGTGAATGCTTTACTGATAGAAACAATTTAGCTAGCTGGTCGGGCTACCAATCGACGTATACAGATTTTGTTTTATTCAACACGCAATAAGATCAGTTAGAATGTAGTAGAATCTGATGGTGCGGTCATTCGTATTCGTGATCCGCACGAAAAGTGAATGATTAGTGACGGGATTTGCACGGAGAGTTCTCAAACGTTCAAGGTCAGCAGTGAGGAATCTACCATGTTGTGTGTATTTTGAAGAAGACGAATGAGCGGATCATGGATAGATAGTTTGTGATTCTCAGAGCATCAAAATACCGCGCGGCAGTAATCAAAGCTATTGATGTGTGTAGAGAAACTCAACCCTAATGTCGTCTCAAGCACAAGCCTAAATCTCGAGCCGATGTAGGGAGGGAGGTGAAAAGGGTTTGTACCGAAATCGTCCGTGTACAACTACGTATTCATAAATTAACCAGAAAAAGGAACAGATGAACTGTTGACTGATCAAAAATGCCAATCAAACTAATGTCATATGGAACAACGGAATACGTGATGCTATAAAGATGAGGATAATGTTGAGTCGCACAAAGTGACAAATGATCCGACTCCATTCTGGAACGGTGCACGCAGATTGACGGATTCGTACAATGAACAACAAAAAGTAACCATGGTATAAATATTCATTTGAAAATTGATTTGTAAAAAATGAACTTAATGGGTGAATTATTGGAGAACTTTGCTCACCCGCATGTGCGAAAAATTTGAAGTATGAGATGGTTCCAGTTCAGTTTTACAGCCATTAACCATGTACTTTCGTGCGCCGGTTTCCGTTACTGTCTTTTGGCCGCCCATTGGGATAAAAGAGCAGAGTGAAGATTGGAATGTTCACAGCAAATTCGAGGGGAGGATTCATATAGATTGGGGTTGCAAGAATATTGAGTAGATTCAAGAGCGCCATTACTTGCGACACCTAGCCATTTCACTCGGTATCTCTAACCACCGGTTACCATGATTTCGGGGTCCCCATCCAAAAAGCCTAACGGTACTTATGTGACCCAGTATCCTGGTTCGGGTTTTCACATGTTAGGTCTTAGTTTGACTGCCCTTGACCTTATTCCATTCATTATCTATCTCGGCAAACATTGCGCACCGAGACAACCTATTTGATGATATGCGCAACACGTACCAATCACTGTGGTCTATGGAGGTCGATTACTTGTTCCAATAAACGACTGCGATTACCCAAATATCTACGCCTAACCTCAGCATTGCTCGTCCGGCTGCCTCACTAGATTCGTGCAATGCTGCGTAGACAGTGGTGTTCGAACACCGACAGTCTATCTTTATCCCTTTTCCCTTGTGGACAAATTTGTGCGTCGTATAGCAGAGCTGGTCGAACTGTGTCGGCATACACTCGCCCCTTCACAGACACCCGGATGTCGCGACGCCGCAACAGATGTCTTAATTTGACCAATAGCTCCTGACGCCTCCAAACAATGGACCTACTGGGTACGCACTTTCAACGCCTTTCTAAAGCGAATTCAGTCCGATGACACAAACAGTCTAGACCTATTCATCAATTTTTTGGCCCCCTGTCAATGAGCACAGCTCTGATTGTAAGACATTTGAAAACGCCATCTCCCTGCTCGAAACGCCGTACGTTTGTCCCAAAAATGTGTTTGCGCAGTACCTACTTTATACTTG